AGGTTGGGAGAAGAATACTGGGCAGAATTGTTGAAGTTACGAAGTGTTATCATAGAAAATTATCGTGGATAACAAAGGACGTGGATAAGGAAAAGCATATTTGATACAAATCTCTAGACAAAAAGTAGGTAAGATGAAAATAAAGAACAACTTATAATATATTAACTCAAGCATCTGAAAATTTGTACATTCACTTATAGATCCTTTAGAGGCATGAAAAATCGAGTTGGACAGTCCTAATTAAAAGGATTCAGTCCTCCCAATTGAATGATGAGGGATCCCCATTGCAGAGAGTTAAGTAAAAGTTCAGCAAATTCTTTATAGCTAAGAATATCAACATTCAAATTATGAAAACCGTTAGAATAAGAGACTACGGAAATGGCAGAGTGGGTGTTGTAAAAATAGTTGATTTTGAATGAGGGAATCAACTTGTACTTCCGGCATACAAAATTCTTCAAATAATTTCGAGCCCGATATTTTGAGAAGGGCATGTACAATACTTTTCTGTTATTGAGATGAAGTTTCAGGAAAAGAAAGTTGAAATATACTTTGTGATTCAAACTCTCTCTTGCTAACAGAAGAAGGTACCTTGCGGAATACATGGAAACAGAAGTATTTCTTCAGTAACTATTAACTAGTACTCTCTTTAAATGGAGGTATTTTGGAAAAGAAGAATTCTGAAATTATTTTATCGTGTACCTTCAAAATGCATCGAAAAATCTGTCTAATTTTATCAAGAATCAAACTAACATGGTAAATAAACCCTATAAGTTTATGCGATCAGTTTAAAGTAACTGGACTTGGAGTAGAACAATGCCCTAATGGGAAGGGGCAGCTCTATTTCTAGCACAACACCTATATTTTATGACACTTTGCACCATGATGAAGCAAGGTGTGAAATGAAACAATGCTGGAACAAGTGTTCGAAATGTCACAAATTGAATTAAAATCGAACTAGAACCACGTATGCAAAATAATTGAAGAGGGCCTACTCTATGAAAATAATCCTTCCATATGTTCTAATATTGGGTGAGTGAATGCATAATCTTCATGTGTACGCAAAACTCATTAATTTCTAGTTAATAGCAATAATATGACAAAAGATCACATAAACAAATATAAAGGTATTGTCATTATCTTCGAGCCAATCAATAGTATAATATAGCAAACAATCAATGTATAATGTCGGAACCTAAGAAAGCATCTTAAAATTTGTTTTTTCAAATTCTTTCGACACGTGTATGCATGTATGGAATATGACTGATCGTACATGTTTTTCTTCTCTCTATTGTCACAATCTCACTTACATTCTTACAAAGATTAGTTAACAGGCTCCCAAATAAGTACATAGCACAAAGCTAGCATTAAATATTTAACACCAACCAATGACATTAATTTCATTCTTATAATTGAAAGGAAAAGTACATTATTAACATTACAAATCCCAGCGATTCCGGAAGATATTCAAGCTAACTCGAACCATCTAGAACTAGTGTTTGCACGTGTATACCAATTTATGTACTAATGTATGCATGGCTGCGTCCGTCTCTTTGTACATAGTCATACATTCATGCCTATATATCATTCTTGTTTGTGCACATTGTTACATTGTGAGTCCAACATGTTAATAATTTCAGGAAATTATCACAAAACTACCAATACAGAAATATCAAAGGAAGATCCTTCATACATGCACATACATCTCAATTTTTTCAATAAGTATTAGATCAAATTACTCAAATGAAATCAATAAATTAATAAATCCTAAATTTATCATCCAAATTATCCATTGAAAAAAAAAATACACACAAGAATACATACAAAATGGAACTGACACAAGTCTTACCATTTTTCACTTTAGTTTCTACCAAAGAAATGTAAATGCAATCATCCAGTCCCTCTTGAAAAACCTCTGTAGCTTTAACGTGCACTTTATCTGTACCAGGCCAAACAATGAAACTAAAACAATATGAAAAAATAAGAAGGTAATTTAACATTGAGGTTAGGTTATATGATGTAATAAGATTATAATTAAATGGTGTAGATTTTAGAAATTCTTTCCCTTTGGTCAAAGAGTTGTTGAAAATTAATGAAAAGCATGTTTGGCTAAGTTTAAAGTAATTAAGTTACTTCTAAATAGGATTTTATTTATAGACAAATTTGGAAAAGTATTATTTATTTTGAATTTCGTTTATTTAATTTTAATTTTAAGTAAAATGTTTTAAGTTCAGACAAATATTCACCAAGTCGTTTCTTTTGGTCAATATTCGCATGTTTGACAAATCAATTGACAACTTATAATATGAGTTCCTACTCTATATTTGTGGCTCAAAATAAACAATGATGACCAACTTCTAGTATGCAAAATAAGATGCCAACCGGCTTTATTTTGCTTAAAAGACATGGTTCACATGTGTATATATATTGTCCACATAATGCTAGGAACCCTCGTCTTACTAGTTTATATATATCCATTTTTAATTTGACTTATAATTTGAGTAAAATCCAGCATTAAATGGGTGAATTTATGTATAATTTCATCTAATTGAAAATTAAGTTGCTAATGATTTATTTAGTATGTTACTAAGAGCATACCAGATATTTATCATTTGTCGTATTCGGTTGTATTGAGTGTACCATACAGAATATGTTCGAGATATGCTTATCATAAATGAAGATAGAAAAAAGAAAAAAATGGAAATTGATAAAGTCATATCAATAAAAGAAAACAGATAGCATAATAGAAAGATAACCTGGAAATTATTAATTTCCCTTATTATTTTGGCTATGAAACTTATAGAATTTATACAAGAAGCTGTTATTTAGCATTGAAAATAGCAAGACAGCCAGGTGAAAATATTAACTCTACATTGAAAGTTGGGAAGGTGAACAGCCAATCTAATCTTCTAGCCCTTGAGTCACTGGGAAGATTATTGAAGCATGAATAAACAAAATTAAAGTGGTTTAAAAAAACTCCTTGGAAATGGATTTTTGGTCATTTTTCTCATGATCCCCCCTCAAGCTGGTGAGGATTATGGCGTGAACTCACATCTTTTGTTGAAACTGAGTGAATGAATCTCGAGTTGCAATTTGATGAGTTTTAGGAACATATCGTTCAAAGAGAATACCTTGAGCAATTTTTTCTCGAATGAAATGGAAGTCAATACCTTGAGCAATTTTTTCTCGAATGAAATGGAAGTCTATTTTCATATGCTTAGTATATATGGACATTAAATACAGAATTTTTAGTCATTTGAAGAGCACTTTTGCTATCACACAAATGCAAATGAGTGCACGATAGAGATAAGCTTACATCATGAACTAAAATTGAAATCCAAGTAAGTTCAGTAGCAGTAGAAAGTAAGGATTGATGCTAGGATCCGACACGAGTACGATCAAAAATATTTTTTTTTCTTTGAGATCCAAGAAACGCAATTTACACCTAGATAATTAATTACACACTAGCCAGTTGTACTGCAATGATTGAGTGGACAATGTATCCGATCAGCGTCCAAAAAGGCATGTAAAGTAGGAGAGCTTCGAGTGAGACAACGAATGTCAAGATGTATAGTCCCCTGGAGATTACGTTTAACATCTCAAAGATTAGTAGCAGTTGGCATTTTAAAGTGCTGGAAAATGGAATTGACAGCACGTGTGATGTCTGGGCAAGTGAAAGTGAGGTACTCGAGACTGTCGACAAGAGCTCTAAATTTAGTGGCATTCACATATCATAATGAGTAGGAGTTGGTGTCACTTTGATAGACATAGAGCTGTTATGCGTACGAGATTTTGCCAATAAATCCGTATTATTTATTTTGTATGCGATAAGAAAATGCCATCATTAAAGCATTTCACTTCAACACTTGAACAATAATTGAGATGACCTAGATATGTTTAAAAGTGAATTGTGATTCTATAATAATTTGTTGAATGGTAGAAGAATGTGATCTTGTAATAATTAATATCTTGTTTATTTTTACATTACATAGTAAATATATGATTAGCGACTTGGTTTTTAGTTTGATGAAAGTATACACAAATTCACCATTTTAATGCCGAAATGAAAAGATGTATGCATTTTTTGAGCCAAAGTATGAAAAAAAGAATTACCTTTATGTAATTTATATATTCAAAGCAAGTTGACTCCAGAATTGAAAAGGTTAAAACTTCATTTTTTTATTTGAAGTAACTTGTAAGATTAATATCCCTTGAATTGTGTGGACAATAAATACTGTAATTCATGTCTTTTAAGCAAAATATGGCTTGGTCCCATACTTGTTTTGCATACTAGACGTTGGTCCAATCATTATTTATTTTGAGCCACAAAATAGAGTATGACCACTTTTTTTTTCTGTTGTCAACTTAATTGTCAAATATGTGCAATATGTCCACATAGAAAAGATTGAAACATCTTGGTGAAAGTTTGGCTAAACTTAAACATTTTACTTAAAAGTAAATAATCAAAATTCAAAATAAATAATTACATATCCAAATTTTCCTATGAATAAGATATTAACTAGAAATAACTCAACTTACTTTAAACTTATCCAAAGATGCTCTTAATTGTTTCACTTTTCATTAATTTTCAACAACTGTTTGACCCAAAGGACATAAATTTCAAAAATCTACATAATCTTATTACAATCATTTAATTAAATCATCCTTATCTCTCTACACTCACTTTAATTACAAGCTATACAGATATGATAAAGATCACCTGTGTCCATTTACATATACAATCACCTGTATTGACCTATACATGATTGACTCTTTATCTACATGTTCCATGTTGATTATATTAATTTCATCAGGAGCAAGCAGCTGCAGTGCACCATGTTACACTAAATCGGTCGGTTTAGTACTATAAAACCTTAAATGTTGCACTCACTTATAGTGAAACATTGCAGTCCTTTTTCCAAAAATAATAATAATATTATGTTTATTAAATAAATAAATAAATAACAAAGTGTTAGTTTTTTTTTTTCCAGCTAGGCTACGACATGAAATCATCCGTGCAGAGGTAATTTTAATTTATTATTTTTTTTGGGTTAAAAAAGTGAAATATTCTCTCACTGTTAAATTATTATTATTATTATTATTATTTTCTATCACATTGTTTTTAGTTTCTTTGTTTTGGCTGGTACAGATAAAGTTTATGTTAAAGCTACAGAGGTTTTTCAAGGGGGACTTGATAATTTAAGTTCAAATTTCTTTGGTAGAAACTAAAGTGAAAAATGGTAAGACTTGTACCAGTTCCATTTTTTGCATATAGTTGTGTGAATTTCCAAGGATAATTCCATATAGTTGTGTAATTTGATATAATACTTATTGGAAAATTTGAGATGTACGTGTCTATATGAAGGATATTCCTTTAGTATTTTTATTTTGGTACTTGTAATTTTATTTCTAGAAAATTTTCACATGTTGGATCGAAGGTGAAACAATTTGACACAGGCAAAAAGCAAGGTGACACGGTAAATTTAGGATTTATTAATTTATTTATTGTGTGTGTGTGTGTAAGATCTAGTACTTAAATGAAAAATTTGTGATGTATGTGCTTTATGAGGATATTCCTTTAATATTTCTATTTTGATACTTGTAATTTGATTTCTAGAAATTTTTTACATGCTGGATCCACGGTGAAACAATATGACACAGACAAAAACTATATGTAGCAAGCATATATCAGAATATATACTAAGGCTTGTTTGAGCTACATTATTGGGAAAAAAATGCATTATTGATGTCAAATCAAAGGGAAATGTGTGGTTAAAAATAAGAAAAAGTTTTAGATTTGTGTGTAATATTATTTTATTGAAGAATGTGCGGTTGAAATGATATCAAATTACTGTTGTAGAATGTATTTTTTTGAAAATAATTTGGCTCAAACAGTGGCTAGGACACCTACATAGTCATGCATCTATTAGTACATAAATGGCTATACACATGTAAACGCTAGTTCTAGATGGTTCGAGTAAGCTTGAATATCTTCCTGTTTCTTTGGGATATGTAATTTTAACAATGTCTTTTTCTTTTCCATTAAAAGACCAAATTAATATCACTGGTTGGTGTTAAATACCCTATCGGAACGGAAATTAAATGTTGCAATTAAGACTGTGCTATGTACTTTTAGGAGCGTGTTTGCCACGTGAACACACTGTTGACTTATCTCGGTAAGAATGTGTTGGGAATCTACTTATACATGTGCAGCGGAATTTAAAATAATTTTCAATTCCCACCAAGAATCGTCTTTGTGTTTAGATAGAAATTGTGATAAGATTGTACATTTTCCAGATCTGCAAACTTCTTTGCTTTTCTTTCAGTTCCATCAACCTTGATTTGCCACCATAGTTGTCCAATTGTCCAGCCTCCAACATTGATCCACACAGAGAATAAGATTGCAGCTTCTAGGGTTTTCTCTTGTGCCAGCAAGAATAATGAAAATCATATGGACTTCAAACCCTAGCTATCTATTTATATAAACCCAAACGGGCTCGACCCGGTCCGGTCAAATATTTAATTAATCCAATTAATTAAATCCGGTCGGTGAATTAATTAATCCAATTAATTAATTCGGGAATATAAATAACAAATTCAATTAATTAATTTATCCAACGATTGTTAAATTAACCAATTGCCAATTTACAATCTTCCAATTCTCTTTTGTGTGCGACCCATTAGGTTCCCGACCACGATGTCTAACGACGTGAAATATTATTTTGATATAATCAAAATTGATAAATTAAAACACTCTTTTCACACTCCCCATCCCTGATTGACATCTAGCAATGTGTCAGGGCAATACATGTGACGGAAAATGTCACGTGGTATGACAAAACCAAATTCGTTCGTTTATCGTGAAACTATAATCCCTTCGTCAATATGATCTAATCAATTATGAGATATGGAATTGTGTCAATCTCGATTATCGATCATATCTTTCACTCCACCATTAAGTGAATATAAGTCAAAAAATTCATTTTCGACTTATGAGTACACCTTGGCCAAGGATTTCGTTATCGACTTAATTGAATGAAACACAGATTATAATCTCTTACTATCTAAGAGTGACGAATCATTTATTGATCAATCACAACATTCATACGATTCTTGACGTACCCGAACGATGTCGTATTAGCGGCCCTTTTCAGAGCAACATCCAATACCGCCAAAGTATGACTGTCCTCTTATAAGGTACCATGACGACCTCAAGTCAAAGGACCAATTCCACTACCGAGCGTTAGAGATTAACCACTGACACTCAGATAGTTATCCATGTGGAATCTCTTGATGGGTCTCCAATGTTTTGTTCTATAACAAAACATCCACGTGTTCATTTAAGTGTCTCCACACTTTAACTTGTGAGATCAGCTACTTACTTCATAAGTAAGAAATGCCACACGTGATGGTCTATCCGTAATAAAGATATCCGTATCTCGTTACTACTTACGACCACGGATGATTTAAGATTCAATCAGATGTAATTTGTATCTCACAATTACAACTCCTTGTAATTAACAAATTATAAAGATTTGAATCTACGGACTCTATTATATATTTAATTGTCTATTAATTAAATAATAGATCTGCCATTTAATTACATTAATTATATATAAAAAAGTATTTATGTCCAAAGTTGATTGGACCTAGGGCATAATATTTACAAACTCCCACTTGCATTAGATCCAATCACTTATGTATCAAATATCACAAGTCTACATGACGATCATATTTATACTACGATAACTCTTTGTCAGTGGATCTGCAATATTATTAAATGTGGAAATTCGCTCTTCTCTTTATGTCATTTCTATGTATTATCTCTTTGATGATATTATACCGCCTTAATATATGTTTAGATCATTGATGAGACCTTAGTTCCTTTGCTTTTGCAATGGCCCTATTGTTATCACAATACTATTGTATGTGATCAACAATATCAGGAACTACTCCAAGTTCATTTATGAATATCATGATCCATATTGCAACTATTTGCCACTTCTGAAGTATCCATGTATTAGGTTTCTACTAGTGAATCAACGGTTGCTTCACGTTTGGAACCTTTCCAACATACCGCTTAAGAGTAAACCATTTTCTCCATATGAAATCTTCTCAAGATTTCATCTATGTAAATTGGGATGAGTTAAGCAATCTTCTAGATCTACCTCTATAAATCAAGTTGCTTATCCTATTTCGTTTATGAATAAATCCTTTAACAACCATTATTTCAACGATTGAAACATAGGGATATCGTTTTCTATAATATTAGGAACACGACAATGCTCCCACTATCTTCTTGTAAATACACAATTCGTCTTCAAATTTGATAAAATCAAACATTTTGACTTTTTTCCATCAAATCGAAGATTTCAACTCCATAGAGACTTATCTTAACCTTTAGTTACGATATGCAACTGTTGCAAATAAAACCCGAATGGACTTCAGCAAGGTCACAGGAGAAAAATTTCACCAAGGTCAACACTTAACCTTTGCTTCTATCCTTGCTTTGTATATATGGATATCCACTTCCATATCGACATTTCCCTTGTAAACTATTTACAAAATCTTACGGGTTTTATTCCATCAGGAAGCTTAACCAAGGTCCAAACCTTGTTCACATACGCCGAGTTCATCTCGAGTATCATGGCCTTATGCTGTCTCTTTTAAGTCAGTACTTGACTTTATTTTGTTGCAACTAGCAGGTTCATTGTCCTGGATCACTAATACCTAATTAATGATCATGGATTCGCACCTACTTGAAGGCCGAATGATCTTATTAGATTCACATAGAGCTATCATGTCCTCAGGAGTCTTTACTTCTTGATCCAAAGTATGTCCCATATCAGATATGAGATCAAACTCGAATTTATCTACTTGGTTAACAATATCTGTGGATTCTTGAACTCTTTCAAGTTCTATTTTGCTCCCACTGTCTTCTCCTAGAGTGAATATTTTCTCTAAGAAGACGATACATCGTGAGACGAAGACTTTCTTCATGATAATAGAATTTATATTCAAATGTCTCCTTCGAATATCCCCACAAATGCGTATTTATCAGATTTAGTGTCAAACTTATCTGATTCAAGGCGCTTCAGAGCTTTCATATAAGATAAATTGGGAATATTGCCTTTCCATAACTCGTATGGAGTTCTGTTAACCAATTTAGATGGGATATGGTTTAGTGTGTTGCACACTGTAATCAATGCGTGACCCCAAAACAATTTTGGAAGATTTGCATGGCTTGTTATTAATCGCATTATATCTAATAATTAACGATTCCTCCTTTAGATACATCACCTTGCTGCAGTATATATGAAGGAGTCCACTGCAAGAGAATCTCATTCTCTCTTATGTAATCTAGATTTTATCTTTAAGATATCTCACTTTATCGAATCTTAATGTGTGGGTATCTTTACCTATTTGTTTCTCTAATTCTAGTGTGAATCTCTTGAACTTTTCAAGAATTTCATGTTTGAGTTTTCATCAAGTATACATGATCATTGATAAAATAAGAGAAACATTACCTGACATTGATTGACATGAATCCATATGCATCACTATGCATTAGACTAGTAATTATGCTGACATTTCTTCTTTTCAAGTAAAAGAAAATTTGGTCATTGTGCCAGATATACATAATTTGTACTTGTTAAAATCAAGTAATCCCAAGTATACACCTTTATATAACTTTGGAATTACATTTCATCTAAATGACAAAGTCTGTCATGCAAGATTTTGGTAATAATTAGATTATATTATTTATGCCTTATAATTTCTATACTCATTATAGAATCCTTAGTATTAAAGAATATAAATATCTTTTTGTAATTTACCATAGCCATTAGGATCTTATTAAGATAAACAAGAACAACTATTGTCCTTAACATTAAAATAGTTCATGTCCGAACATGAAATTCATTTTAATGCTCCAACTATGGTTGGTATAAAGCGACATTTCTCTAATTCCAATACTAAATCAAAAGGCAATGGTAAGAAGTATATTCATACAGACAATGCAACAACCTTTGCTCATCTCCAACGTGTGTGTCAACTTCTCCCTTTTGTAGTGGTCTACTTCCTTTTAGTTTCTCCATATTTGTATAAATATGAGATTTACATCTGGTATCAAATACCTAAAAAACTCGTGAAGTAGACATAAGTCACGCAATATTCCTTCCAATGATCTTTCATTCTATAATGAAACCAAGGGTCATTAGATTTGGTATTTGTCCTTCGCTTATACTGTCTTAACCATATTGGGTGCTTTCACAAAACCCCTTTAGACTTCCTTTTAATATCTTTAGAGGAATCAATGGTTTGCCCACTACCAACTTTGATAAAGGGGTTAACAGTCCTAAACATGTTAAGCAACTCAATATTTTTGCATTCGAGCTTATTCACGTTAAATTCATAATTAGTTGTGAATAGCTTTAGCTGACAGAGATTACAGAACCAAGTCACTACTTAGTTCATGATTTATGATTGAACATAGTTGAGACATTTCTCAACGTCAATCATCTTCAGTGTCTAAGTATCAATTGAAGATTACTCTGTCATTTTGCACCGGTATAGTTGTTTGGAAGTCTCATATCCTTCCACACATGATTATCATTATACAATTCTTTGTAATGAAGAATTATGTGTTAACATCTATACTCTCAAATCGCTCTTGTAACTCAGTGACATAGTTGCAAGTATCATATACGTTGCAATACTATTGTCATCACTGCGTTTACTACAGTAGTCACTTGTTCTTTAATTGAGTCATCAGCAGGTTTCTCTGGAAAGGGCTACTCAAGGACATGACCAATTTTCTCATGCATGAGAACAATTCTCAAATTACGGTGTCAATTAAGAAAATAAAGTTTGGTTGTTGGCATCTAGTATGCCATTCAAAATATATGGTTACTCAGATTCAATAAATATAAATGACGAAAAAGGAAAGAATAATATATAAAATGCATCAATTAATTTAACATGGTCTCTTGTTAAATTAATTATACTCCCACTATTTAAATAAAATTTATGACCCTCTTACATAAATTAATGGAATCCATGTTTTACTCCCAGTGGGCTGGGATCCCATCTATTATATTAAGACCTTGAGTGTACTCAACAAACCCTAATATAACATTTGGGTAGATACTATTATCAATTGTATCTCCAGACAACTCTCAGATCATTAAACTGACAACTCTTTGTTTTCACACATCTTATGTGTTAGCTTAACATGCCTCTAAAATTTATCTCCTTGAGTGTACTCAACAAAAGATAAATTTTAGTTAAATCAAACCTATCATTCAGAAATATCAAATATTTTATAGTGTCAAACATATCCCTAATGGACCAACTTTGAGTGTACTCAACAAGCTGAGACGATTTGGGACTCTAGTTTTTCACTATAATAATGGATGGCGATTACAAATGTGACTTAATATTTTATGGAGGGATTTTGCATTCATGAGTCTCATCAACAACAATACAATCATATATATATATATATATATATATAACATAATATAATAGTGTGGACGATAATAGACTTTTACTATCTAGTCTTCCCGAGCCATAAGGAAGACTAGTTGGTCAATTCCTAGGGGGTATGGCATTGAACAGTGTCAATGCATCATCTCCATGGTCTCCACCTCTTCTTGTCTCTTCAATTAGTCCAATTTCAACATGTATCCTATACTAGTTGGCACGCAGGCCTAAATGAAATTGGACTCGCAGACCCATAGTAACAATAATAATAATGGACTCGCAGGTCCAAAATAATAACGGGCTCGCAGGCCCAAAACGACAAAATTAAAAATTAACCATTCAACACATCCATATGGTCGAGTCCATAATCGTCCACTAATAATACATTCATCATATAAATGTATACCTATATAATATCTAATATTATATGCAAATAAGTTTCAAGTTTCTAACAATTAAGTCATCTAAACTCTTTTAGACAAATCGGAACAATTAAATAATTAATTAATCATATTAATCGATTATTTAATTAGCGGGAATATTTAATTAAAATCAAATTTTAATTAAATAAAAAATTAGAGTCCAACTCTAATTTAACAATTATATGGCGGAATTATTTAATTAAAAATCAAATTAGAGTCAAACTCTAATTTCAGAATTTAAGGCGGTTGAATTTAATTAAAATCAAATTTTAATTAAATAGAAAATTTAGAGTCTAACTCTAATTCCAATATTTAGGGTGAATTAATTTAATTAAAATCAAATTTTAATTAAATGTCAAATTAGAATCGAATTCTATTCTAGAATATATTCGGGGTGAGTAATTAATTAAAATCAAATTTTAATTAAGTATTAAATTAGAGTCAAAGTCTAATTTCAATTGAATCAATATTTTAATTAAGGGTAACACTCCTAAATAAAATAAAATTCAATTGGGGTCAAAGTTTAATATTTAAGTTAAAATCATATTTTAACGAGAATATAAAAATCTTCAATTTTAAATAACATTTTAATTTTGGGTCAAAATTAAAACATGGATCAAACCCAATTAAAATTTAAATTCAAAACCCATTTTGAAGTTGAAATTTGACCCAAGTTAAAATTTATAGTCAAAGTCTCACAATCTCGAAATTTTCAGAACGGACCCTTCCAAATTCACAAATTAGAGAAACAAGTCCTTATTTGAAAATTATAACTTAACCCTAAAATTAAATTGCAGGCAAGCCCTTCAATCTAAAATTATAAATAAGGCCTCACAATTTCATAAATTACGAGTAGACCCGTTACAATCAAAATTGCAACATTACCCCGAATTGAAATTACATTCAGGGGCCTGAAATTTCTAAAATTTCAACCCAAGCCCCCGCCTCCAAAAAATTTAAACCCTAAACAAAAATTTCCTTTATTTATTTATTTATTTTACTTCATCTAGCGGTGCCACAACGGTGTGGCGCCGCCACAGCCCACAGTAGGAGCTGCCTGGCGTGGCGGCTCCTGCAGCATCAGCAGCGGCGGTCGCTATAGCACCGGCAGCCAGCAGCCGCGTTGCCGTCGCCGACGGCAACTATTGCTGCCGGCATCCCACGCCTTTTTTTTTTAATTTATTCAAAACAATTTTGAACACAAAAATAAATCTTCAATTGCTAGAAACAATAAAACATGAATAATCAATTTTTGATTTCAATGATATGCAAATCAATTTCTAACAAACACAAACCTGGCTCTGATACCATTGTTGGGAATCTACTTATACATGCACAGCGAAAGTTAAAATAATTTTCGATTCCCATGAAGAATCGCCTTCGTGTTTAGATAGAAATTGTGATAAGATTGTACCTTTTCCAGATCTGCAAACTTCTTTGCTTTTCTTTCAGTTCCATTAACCTTGATTTGCCACCACAGCTGTCCAATTGTCCAGCCCCCAACGGTGATCCACACAGAGAGTAAGATTGCAGCTTCTAGGGTTTTCTCTTGTGCCAGTAAGAATAATGAAAACCATATGGACCTCAAACCCTAACTATGTATTTATATAAACCCAAACGGGCTCGGCCCGATCCGGTCTAATATTTAATTAATCCAATTAATTAAACCCGGTCCTTGAATTAATTAATCCAATTAATTAATTCGAGAATATAAATAACAAATCCAATTAATTAATTTATCCAACGATTGTTAAATTAACCAATTGCCAATTTACAATCTTCCAATTCTCTTTTGTGTGTGACCCATTAGGTTCCCGACCACGATGCCTAACGACGTGAAATATTATTTTGATCTAATCAAAATTGGTAAATTAAAACACCATTTTAATTTATCGTCAATTCACACTCGTCGTCCCTGATTGACATCTAGCAATGTGTCAGGGCAATACATGTGACGGGAAATGTCACGTGGTATGACAAAACCAAATTCGTTCGTTTATCGTGAAACTATAATCCCTTCGTCAATATGATCCGATCAATTATAAGATATGAAATTTTGTCAATCTCGATCATCGATCATATCTTTCACTCCACTATTAAGTCAATATAAGTCAAAAACTCATTTTCGACTTATGAGTACACCTTGGCCAAGGATTTCGTTATCGACTTAATTGAATGAAACGCAGATCATAATCTCTTACTATTTAAGAGTGACGAATCCTTTATTGATCAATCACAACCTTCATACAATTCTTGACGTACCCGAATGATGTTGTATTAGCGGCCCTTTTTAGAGCAACATCCAACACCGTCAAAATATGACTGTCCTCATATAAGGTACCATGACGATCTCAAGTCAAAGGACCAATTCCACTACTGAACATTAGAGATTAACTACTGACACTCAGATAGTTATCCATGTGGAATCTCTCGACGGGTCTCCAATGTTTTGTTCTATAACAAAACATCCACGTATTCATTTAAGTGTATCCACACTTTAGCTTGTGAGATCAGCTACTTACTTCACAAGTAAGAAATGTCACACGTAATGGTCTATCCGTAATAACGATATCCGTATCTCGTTACTACTTACTACCACGGATGATTTAAGCTTCAATCAGATGTAATTTGTATCTCACAATCACAACTCCTTGTAATTAACAAATTACAAAGATTTGAATCTACGGACTCTATTAATATTTAATTGCCTATTAATTAAATAATAGATCTGCCATTTAATTACATTAATTATATATATAAAAGTATTTATGTCCAAAGTTGATTGGACCTAGAGCATAATACTTACAGAACGTATGTAAGATTGTGAAATACATACACGTGTCGATAGAATTCGAAAAAACAGATTTTAAGATGCTTTTTTAAGCTGCAACCTTATTCATCGATTGTTTTCTATATTATAATGTTGAGTGGCTTCACCATAATGACAATACCTTTATACTCCCAACCTTAAACCTCAAGAACGAATTGAGGTGAAAAGGTTACTTGGTCACTAGTTGCATGACATTGTTATTAGGTATTTACGGTTATATAACTCGTGCAACTTTGACGATCTTTTCAGAAAAAGATCATTTTGAAGTCCTGGATCTACCACTCTTTGGCTAATGGAGAGTTGGGTAATGACGCTTCTAATAGGATTGAACAAAAACGTGCTCATCAGTGGTCTATGGATACATCTGAGCAAGAGCTATACAGCAACAAGAAGCAAGCAGTAGAATCTGCTTACGACAAACCTGCTTCAGGAGCTGCAAACATGAACATATCCCTGTTGGGCAACACTTCCAGTTCTCAGTCAGTTCAGATAGGCAACTGCCTATTTCGGCCTAAGCCTATCAGGATTTCAAATTTTGCAGATAAGAATGTTTCCCTCATGGGGGTTCTGAATATGGCGAAGAAGGGTTCGGAAGATCAGGTAGAAATTGATTCGTCCATTTGTTTACCAGGGTCTCGTGATGAGGAAGGTCTCTTGTGTCTAAGCATTGGAGGCAGAAACCAGATCGTTTCAGATAATCGCGTGTCTGAATTTGTAGGGAAACCCTCTAACCCTAGAGACAAGAATAAAATTATTAGCTCCATCATTCACGGACGAGTAATGATTTGTCACTTGGAACAACTTATAATACCGATGATCGAAGTGCTATTTTAGTGAATTTAACTGCCTTCGGGAAGATAGATAAAAACTTCCTTTCACTGGGAGAGGTCTCCAACAAGAGAGATGACAATTTCATGCTACCGTGTTATCTAGATGACGGGATAGATAATATTCTTCCGTCTATTGGACAACCCTTCGACAAAAAGTTCGGTAACTTTATTCCAGCTGGGGAGGGGTTTGAAAAGGGAAATGACAATCTAATGCCAATCGATCCTAATTACTCTGGGAGCAATGAAACTTTCGTTTATATGGACAGTTTCTACAATAAGGCAAATGACGCTTATATGTCAGCAGGTCCTACTTTTGATAATGGGAGAATAGATATTGCATCGATCACTTCAATTCAAGGTCAGCAGGATGCTACTGTTGCATCACTAGGAGCTGTTTACAACAAAGGAAATTCCAGTTTCCTATCAATGGGCCAAAGCCATAATAAGGGGAATGGCACTACTGTACCTTTTGGAGGCTTTCATTATAATCCAGTAGTAAGCTATCCCTCTTTCAGGCTCCTAAGCAAGCAGAGTCCTTTACTAAATCATTCCTCAGTTCAATCTTCAGGGGCATTACAACAGAAAGATTTTGTGAAGTACGGGTTCCTAAATATAAATTCTGTTTCGGCATGTGCTTCAGGGACAGGGAGTGGCCCCACGAATAAGAAGAAGACAACTGAAAAGCTCCCTTCAAACAACTTCCCCTCAAACGTTAAAACTTTGTTGTCAACTGGTATATTTGAAGGAGTTCCTGTGAAGTACATTTCGTGGTCTGGGGAGGTGAGATCTGATATTTCTTTTTTCTCCATTCCTTACTATGTTTTTGTTTTTTTAACTACAATATATTTTTGCATGCAGAAAAATCTTAAAGGAGCGGTAAAAGGGACTGGTTATTTGTGTGGTTGCAAGGAGTGCAAGCTTTCCAAAGTAAATATTACTGATAATTAACATTGGATGTTCCATTGCATGTCCTCTCATAACGTTTAGCTCCCAACTTATATTGTGCAGGTTATTAATGCTTATGAGTTTGAGAAACATGCTGGTTGCAAGACCAAACACCCGAATAATCACATTTACTTTGAGAATGGGAAGAGCATTTATGCTGTTGTCCAAGAACTGAAGAGCACCCCTCCGGACATGCTATTTGCGACAATAGAAAATGTGTTTGGATCTCTTGTAAACCAGAAAAATTTGCATACTTGGAAAGGTGAGGTTTTTCCTTTCTTAAAAGAAGTTTAGTGTTGTCTTTTATCCCTTAAATGATAAATATTCTTTTCTGTATCTGCATCCCAGACAATCTTACATTTCTTTTCCTTCTCAGATTCGTATCAAGCTACAAACCTTGAAATTCAGCGAATTAATGGGAAGGATGAACTGGACATGCATCCTAAATAATGATGTCTCTTGTGTCTAAATTTTTAAGGTTGGTGGACAGCTGATGTGCTTGTACCTGGTGTGCATGACCTTACCTTATTCGGAACATTAGATATTGATACTGAGAGCCGCTTGCTAAGTTTCGCTTTTAAATGTAATTAGTATTTCCCTATTTTTTCTTTGATAAGATATTTCGTTTGTTAAAAATAAATGGATTTTTACCTAAGTAAAAAAATTATTACTTATTAGGAATAGATTTTATTTCATAGAGTCGTGGATGATTTGGTTTTATTATTATTTCGGCTTCTAAATAAAATATCATGAGCTTGAAAGCATTTGGTTTTGAATCCTTTCATAGAAGATGCACAAGTCTTCCCTGTATTATGTCATGGTTTGGGTAATTAATCCACGAGGTGCACTTCAGTTTTATGGCATATGCATCTGCTTAAAGATTGAAATGAAACAAATTTAAGACAAGATAGGAATCTGGAAAATGGTACTTATACTGGCCCTATTCTGATTCAAACATGAGAATTGCCCGATGTGATTTGTATAACAATATGCATTGTATTAGGAAGGGTGGATAATATGTGATGCATGGCGTTAGGCATTAGTGCCTTCTTCTAGTTTGTCAAATTTGTGGGGGGTAAATTAGACGTTGGTCCAATCTTTTTTATTTCTAGTCACAAATGTGAAAAATTTTAAATGGACAGGGTGGACAGGTCATTAGGCCCTATCCATTGGCACAGACCTCCTGCCAATAGGGGGCATACTGGACGAACAGGGCTTACGTTACCCTATTTGCATAGCAGGCCTCCACAAATATAGAGTGGGACCATGTTTTATAAGTTCTCAACTTATTTGTCTAACATGTGCATAGTGACAAAAAGAAAAAGATTGAAAAGAATTGGCGAATATTTGGCTAAACTTAAAACATTTTGCTTAAATGTAAATAAACGAGATTCAAAATAAACAAGTACGTATCCAAATTTGCCTATAAATATTAGAGCATTGCTTGCTATATAGGCCCTGTTCAGGGCCTGTACAAAATACTCACAATGCATGGGGGGGGGGGGGGGGGGGGGGGGGGGGGGAGGGGGATTTTTTTTATAAAAATAATCACCCCCTCACTTCCTCAAGTAACTCTAAATATTATCACTATCACTGCTACTATAAAAGAGTGAATATGCCAGTTACTATTCATTCACGACGTATTTTACTTTTGCATTTTACCCTCAAATATTTTACCAATCCCTCTTTCCTCAAAGAAAACAACAAAAGACTTGGGTGTAGGCATTCCAACCAAATTTTTGTGGAATTTTTTACCCTTGCATAAGTTTGCTAGGTCCCACATCTGCAAAGTTTATGGTAAGAAAAGGGGACAACAACTAAACCTGTTAGTCAAAAATTGCTTGAAATGTCCAGAGTATCCTTGTGATGGTGTAAAATTTAAAAAATTTAGGGATGTTATTGTATTTTCATCAAAGTTACTTGTTCAGAAAGTCAAAAATTGCTGTAGTGATTTTTTCTATATACCCCGCGAAGCGCGGGGAGTTATCTCTGCATTGCGCGGAGGGCTTTTTATTATTATTTTTTTGTTTTTTTTCAGACATATTTTTGGTAATTTGACCATAACTTTCGCTATGGTTATTAGAATCGCGCTCATGACCACAATTCGTAAAGCTCTTTTCGACACGCACGTTATGACTACCAAGTTTCATTGGGTGGGCATCGTTTTCAAGGTCAAAATTTGTTTTTTCCCTTCCAAATCCCCAATTATAGTTATTTTATTCCTTTTATCACATCTTTTATGAAAACATACTTTCTATGTCATATATACATTTATCCTAAGTTAAAAAAAAAAAAAAATCATTAAAGTCAAACACATAATTTATTTTAACAAAATGATGTAATATTTATTGACAAAATTATCGCGCAAAAATAGAAAACATTAATAAAATAATTTATTTTTTTTAAGAAAAAGATGAATTGTGCGCATTTTTTAACACACACGTTTGATATATGTTTAATTATTTTCGATATTCATTTAGATCATTCGATGTATCTGTGACATAGTTCTCGAAATGAGTTTCGAGAGAATATTGAAAATTTAGGCATTCGACTACTGTACAATCGTCGATGAATTTATAAAGTTAGCTTGATATCGAAATTATTAATTTTTAAAATGATGTCTCTTTTGACATTAAAAAAATTTAAAAGCTTATTAGAAAATTTTCGTAAAAAATTATTGTTGCGAAAATATAATAAACATTAATAGAATAATTAATTTTTCTTAAGAAAAGAGATGAGTCATATGCATTTATTGACACACACATTTCATGTACATTTAACTATTTCGATATTCATTTAGATCATTCGATATATTTATAATATAGTTCTTGAAATGAGTTTCGAGAGAATATAGAAAATTTATGATAGATTATTATAAAAAAAACTAAATAAATCACCCAATGAAAAAAAATTGACAAAAAAAAAATAAAAAATTAAACAAATAGCAACTCGGTATGCATGGAGCAATTTTGCTCCTGGGTGCTAGGAGCAATTTTTTTTTTTTATTTTTTTTTCCATTGGGTGATACATAATATTTTTTTAAGAAAATAATGTAAATTATTTAAGAAAATTATCGCAAAAAATAATAAACATTAATAAAATAATTAATTTTACAATTATTTAAAAAAAAGACGAGTTATACGTATTTTTTAACACACATATTTGATGTACGTTTAACTATTTTCAATATTCATTTAGATCATTCGATGTGTTTACGACATAGTTCTCGAAATGAGATTCGAGAGAATATCGAAGATTTATGCATTCCACTACCGTACAATCGTCGATGAATTTATAAAGTTAGCTTGTTATCGAAAATCTTAATTTTTTAAATGATGTCTCTTTTAACATTAGAAAAAGTTTAAAAGTTTATTAGAAAATTTTCTAAATGACGTAAAAAATTATTGTCGCAAAAAATAATAAACATTAATAAAATAATTAATTTTTTAAAGAAAAAAGACGAATTATACACATTTTTTAACACACACGTTTGATGTACGTTTAACTATTCTCGATATTCATTTAGATCATTCGATATATTTATGATATAATTCTTGAAATGAGTTTCGAGAGAATATAAGATTTATGGTAGATTTTTATGAAAAAAAACTAAATAAATCATTCAGTAAAAAAAATAATTGACACCAATGAAAAATAAAAAAAATACAACTCCGTGCATCACTGAAGGAGCAAAATCTCCGTGATGCACGGAGCAAAACAATTTTTGTTTTTGTTTCACTGGGTGATTTATTTAGTTTTTTTATAAAAATATACCATAAATCTTCTATATTTTTTCGAAACTCATTTCGAAAACTATATCATAAACATATCGAATGATCTAAATGAATATCGGAAATAGTTAAACGTACATTAAACGTGTGTAGTAAAAAATACGTATAACTTGTCTTTTTTCTTTAAAAAATCGATTATTTTATTAATATTTATTATTTTTTCTCAACAATTTTCTCATATAATTTACATCATTTTCTTCAAAGAAATATAATGTGGTATGGCATCAACTATTTTTTTTTTTGGGACGTAAAAATTCAAATAAGGCAAAGCAGCGGCACCACAAGCGTAGGATTAGTAGTGGTTTCCGGAGTGAAGTGAGATATTCAAGGGTAAAATAGGAAAATACAAAATACGATAGTCGAACGCATAAATCTTCTATATTCTCTCGAAACTCATTTCGAGAACTATATCATAAATATATGGAATGATCTAAATGAATATCAAAAATAGTTAAACGTATATCAAACATGTGTGTTTAAAAAATAATATATATATATATATGTTTCGGTAGTTCTTTTTTCGTATATCTTATATATATATCGATTATTTTGGACAAATATGAACTCTTTTGGCTTCCATTTGAACTTTCAAGTACACTCATGAATTTTATCGATTAATGATAATATATGATGATGCACAGTGTGTGTCATATATAAATATTACATTCCCATTTATCATTTTAAATAATTAATCAAATTTGTAGATTCATTGAGAGAAATGAATAGATATTTTGACACATTAATATTACTTAAAAAATGACATAATCCGTGCATTGCACGGGTGGAAAACTAGTATTATATAAAAGTGACTTGACTTACTTTAAACTTAGCCAAACATGCTTTTCGTTGTTTTCACTATTCATTAATTTTCAACAACTGTTTGACCAAAAGGGGATGAATTTCTAAAATCCACACATTGACACATAATCTTATTACATCCATATAATTAAGTCGCTCTTATCTCTCTAACCTCACTTTAAATAAATGATTATACAGATAGGATACAAATCAATGTATCCGTTTACATATACAATCGTATTAGGTTTCAAATCACTTTCATTGACCTATATACGTAAATGTCACTTTATCTACATGTTCCACGATTTATTTCTCTCAATAAATTTACAAATTTGATTACTTGTTGTGTAAAGGAATGAAAAAAGAAGTATATATATATATATAAAGAAATGGAGAAAAGTAAGAAAATAGTATAACAATTTATAACTCATATAAATTATAAACTGATAATAATTTTATTAGGAATTTTTCGGTCAAAAAAGAAAAATAATTGATGTCATACACATAAATTTTTTTCAAAGAAAATGATGTAAACTATATTGAGAAAATCATCGCGACAAAATAATAGACATTAATAAAATAATTGATTTTTTAAAGAAAAAAGACGAGTTATACGCATTTTTAACACATACGTTTGATGTATGTTTAACTATTTTCGATATTCATTTAAATCATTCTATGTGTCTATAATATAGTTTTTGAAATGAGTTTCAAGAGAACATAGAAAATTTATGGCAGATTTTTATAAAAAAAAACTAAATAAATCATCCAGTAAAAAAAATTGGCACAAAAAATATTAATCCCCCAATAAATTTTTTTTTTAACATGTCGCATCATTTTAATGTGTGTATATATATTGTT